TCGCTCCCGCCGGCGAGCATGGCGACCCACAAGCTTGTCCTCCTCTGAGCACCCTCACCAACCAGCTCTCTCCACTCAACGCTTGTAACCATGCTGCCTTCCCAGCACCAAGCTGCATTGTACATCCAATGCAACATGTATACAGAGAGCACATTGTGAGTTTCCTTTCTCCATCCCATCCTGAGTGTGAACCAAACAACCTGTTCCCCACAGTATACTACATGTTCACTGTTTGTGTAGTGTTCCCCCTTCATCACCTACTGTGCCTCTGTTGCTTTATTCTTCCCCTGCAGTGTTGGAGTTACTTTTAGAAACTTAGTAATTACATGTACATGTATATGGATCGATAATGTTTTATGGTTGCATTATTGTATATTGGGGGGGAGGGGGGGGGGTGCCTTGATATTTTGAATTTGGGATAATTCTGCAAGACAAGAGCCTCATAGGTGCCAAGATATCAAGGGTTTATTGTACATACTACATATTACTTGTATACAGTATACATCAATTTAAAGATTTGCAATCAAGCAAAATAACATTGATCCCATTCAAAAAATTTCTTTAACAATTTCTTCGATTTTTGTTAAAGTAAGGGACACAACTCAAATTTATACAAAATAATAATTTTGATACAATGTTATGAAGTATGATACAGGCTTTTACATATGCTTTATTATGGGAAAAATTAGGTTTAAGTCCATTCTACTATATTTATTAATTCATCAACCATTATACTGTACATACAATGTCAGAGGACTAATCTTCTTAACAAAATAAGTCCTCCCTACAACAAGATAAATCATTTACTTACAATAATTGGCATTAACAGGAGCAAGGGCCACTAATATTTACAGAAACAATTTCTTAAGAATAATCCCAGAAGGCAAAAACTTGGAAGATGGAATCAATATTGTGTTCATATGAACAGTTAGATATGCAAAGGCATCAGCAACATAAAAGGTTTTTATTGTTCATTATTCCAGACTGAGAAGATACAGTACTCTGAAACTTACAATAAAAGTAGACAGAACAACCAACTTGTAGAAGTATATTTATATAATGATTTATACAAGGAATTGATGTAAAGTCACTTCTGGCTCAATTTATATATCAAAATAAGGCATAGATATGTTTGAAACATGCTATTCACTCAACCAAACAGTAGAACCTCCACATAATGCCATCCAAACTAAAGATTTAGATAAAACTGTTTCACACCGAAATATTTACATGTATGTACTAATATATATATATATATATATATATATATATATATATATATATATATATATATATTTTTTTTTTTCTTAGAGGTTTCTAGAAAATAAATTCATAGGACTACTGTACTGTATACGAGAGATACTTGGGGAATGACATCAAAAAGTTCAATTTTCCATTGTTTAACACCAACAACTAGAACATACAATGTACAGTAGCTAAAACAACTATCTGTGCAGGTGGGGGTCGATATGCTCCAAAATTTTACGTGTGACTAGTGACAGCCCTCATATACCAAAATTTATCGTCCATGGTCTCATATTGTTCCCACAATGTGTGCACAGATAGTTGTTTTAGCTACTGTACAAGGCAATATACTGTACATTATTAGAAAAATACAATTAAAACTTTATTTCCTGTAAAGAAAAAAAAATCATCCCAAGCTTCAATCATATAATTTATCAATAATGGCTAGGATTTGAAAGGTAAAGTTCAAAGCAGCTCATCAATAAATATATATATATATATATATATATATATATATATATATATATATATATATATATATATATATATATATATATATATATATATATATATATATATATATATATACTGTATATATATATATATGCTGATAACCACAAAGAAAAAAGAAAACACGAAGTTCCCAAGCGCTTTCGTGTAATTCACATCTTCAGGGGCGAGTGTGTGTATATATATATATATATATATATATATATATATATATATATATATATATATATATATATATATATATATATATATATATATATATATATATATATATATATATATATATATATATATATATATATATATATATATATATATATATATGTATATATGTATATATATATATATATACTGTATATATATTCTTTTTTGTACAAGGTAAATGCTCAGTAAAGAAAAGTGAATGACAATTGTTGGTACCATATCACAGAGTACCACATGAAGTTCTTACTATGTCAATTCACACAAATAATTTTCCTGTTTACGAGAATGTAATTGCATATATGTAAAATTTATTTGTTAATTCTCATCGTGTGTGTGTATATATATATATATATATATATATATATATATATATATATATATATATATATATATATATATATATATATATATATATATATATATAAGAAAGTTAATTCATTGGTAATACCTCGATTAACCGACCACATATGGGGGGAAGGGGCCGACGGATAATCGAAAAGGTCGGTTAATAGTACATAAAGTCTACGGAAATAAAACATACATTTTCAAAGTACCTTTCCCTAACCTACCTCATTTAAGTCCCTCTATTCATTTTTGTTCATTTGCCATTCATATTTCAATAGAATTTGCTTTAAAACATTAACCACTTTAGTAAATAAATATGAACCAGCACAGAAACCGTGAATATAAAATTGAAAAGTCAAAGAACATGTCATCACAAAAATTGTGACCACGTCCCAGGTTGCTGATCTGACTTTCTGCCTCATTTACACACAATTGCAGGGTCTCAATTGTTTCTCTTACTATTGACAACACAACATACATACAGGTACATTGTTTCTCACTCTTGATTTTTTTTTTCACTTTTGCATTTCTTTGTGGTTCTTTATTACTATTATTATTAGCATTATCGCCCCCCAGGCCCCGATATGGGTCAGTGACCTGTGCCCGGGTGGGCTAATCCCCGTGGGAAAAAAAATAGGGATTCGGGATTGACGGTTAATCCGAAAGTCGGTTAATCGAGGTTTTACTGTGTATATATATATATATATATATATATATATATATATATATATATATATATATATATATATATATATATATATATATATATATATATATATATATATATATATATTTATTTATTTATTTTGATGAAGAGACAAATTATGAGGTAATGAATTATTCACTACATTTATCAAGGTTCTATTGTACATTAATATTATTCAGTAATCATCAGCAACTTACCTTCAACTAGAGCTCCAGCACATTTTTCCAAAACAAATATACTGTACAGTATGAATGTACCGTATAGACCTCGTGTACAGTCCCTCCCAAACAATAGTGTTACCTATGGAGTCGAAGCAGTTTGTGATCTTGTGAGCATTGTTAGTCCACTAGCTTTGCAATGGTTGGTACATTCAACAAGTATTGTCATACACCATTATCTATGTAGATCAAATTATATATTTTGTTAAACTTTTGTGTAGAGAATTGTCAGCTTCTTCAAATAACCAGTACTGGGTAATTTAAATTTCATTCCTGCAGATACATCATGTTGTGTATAGTATATGGGAGCAGGTATACAAACAATGCTCTGGAGAGTATATCAAAACATTTTGTCCCGCATTTCAAATTGCCAAGGCAGTAAAATTATGGAATTTTTTTTGGAGACTGTACATGTGCAAGTATCCACAAAATCCCATTACCACTAGGTATTTTCTTCATTGAACTAACCAACATCTGGAATAGTGGAGAGTAATTTACTAATTTATTTGTTTACAAATAAAAAGGTTTAAGGTTTATTAATGTATTTATTTGTTTACATAATCCAGAAGCTTGGTTTTAGTTTTCACACTGATTTGGTGGAAATGTATTAAGCTTCTTTGGAAAACACAAATTAAATAATGGATAGCTTTTGTCATCAATATATACAGAGTTATTCCCAAAGATGTACATTAAATTGCAGGGTGTATTCCTGAGGCAATGCTAAGCCATAATGTCAATATAACAAAATGCCAGAATCAGCATAGTTTTGGAGCTACAACACATGAAAGATGTAAGGTGAGGTTGGATGAAACTGCTGTAGATTTGTGTAATTTTTTGCACATAGCTCTACAAAATTTAATACAGCTGCATTATTACTTACAGTAAATGTTGAAAATTCCCCCCTCTGCATCATAATATTTATAGTTGTGTGCATCAAATTCTACAAAAAGCTACAGATGTACCAGTCCAATCTCACTATCATTACCTCAACCTGTTTCAAGTGTTGTAGTTACAAAAATATGTGGATTCCGACATTTTTGTTGTGGCTTTGAATTGTCCCAGGAATACACCCTGAAATTTTATGTACATCTTTCTGAATACCCTTATAATATATATATATATATATATATATATATATATATATATATATATATATATATATATATATATATATATATATATATAATCGAGTATTGGCTAGCTCACTGAAGATCAGAAATTGTGGAGCAACAGGATATTGTGAAATGTTGACCAAACTGATCAGTTACAGCAAGATCTCAAGACTAATACTCAGATTTGATTGTTTTATGACAAAAGCACAAATTGCCACATTAAACATTTCATAATTAGGATTATTTGTCACTGGGTTATTTTGTGTACATATAGGGAATAATGATCACTGAAAGTATTGGCTGTACTTCACACAGTTGAACAATGTCACTGATGACTAATAATATATACAGTATATGGAAAGTTAAGTGTTTCAAACATTAATGCCTGATTGATATCAATGTATGAAAATTTTAAGTTCTGAACTAAAGATGAATAAGAAAAAGTATATATATATATACATATATATATTTCATGTAAATCCACAATGGAAACGTGGATAAGATAAATCTTGATAAAATCACACGGGAAAATGGAAACAACGGAGTACCTTAGCTTTCGTCTTTATTCAAGACATCTTCAGAGGCAACAGTTGCCTCTGAAGGTGTCTTGAATAAAGACGAAAGCTAAGGTACTCCGTTGTTTCCATTTTCCCGTGTGATTTTATCAATATATATATATATATATATATATATATATATATATATATATATATATATATATATATATATATAAGATCACAAAAGAGCATATACTATTTATCTAATCTCTAGTGTGTGTGTGTGTGTGTGTGTGTGTGTTTGTTGGTAAGCATATGTATGTTTTTCAGATAGCTGGAAAAAACATTACCAGGGTAGGACTAGGTGAAATCAAATCTACTCTCATTCTGAAGATAATCACCATTACTGGAATGTTGGTTTCAAGTTAGGAATTTTTTTCTAAGGCAAACTTGCATCATAGCTTATAAAATTAAAATAATTCAGAATTGGATACAACCTACAATGTCTTTGACACTTCAAAGAACAAGTGTCTTATAACAAGAAATAAATAGTACCATCTTTGGCTACTAAAAATGGGCAAGTATCACAAAGGGATGTATGGCAGAGATGGGGCACAATCACTGATCTTGAGCCTTTATTTGAAATTTTGAGAGACTAAAGTCTGTCCAAAAATTAAAAATTAGCTTATATATGCCTGAATTGACTATGATGATCTTGTAAAAATTTCAAGATTAGTAAACTTTCCCTAAAGACAATTTTAGCGAGTTCACTGTTCCAAAGAAAATCACACGACTAATAATTTAGAAATTATACCAAGCAGTGATTAGCTACTGATATGGATCATCAGGAGGGTGGGAGCTGGAGTCCATTTGTATCAACCAAACTAGATTTGATTTAGTATGGTTAAAATGGGGCAAGTATTTACACATTTCAGACACACTTAACTTCACTGACTTACACAGGGTATATACACTAGTATAGTACACAGCTATTCAAGAGGCTTACCTCTTCCTCCCATAAAACATTATCTCATTGGTTCACTAGAATTTGGAATTATAAAGGCAGGTTTCACCATGAAAAACTAAAAATAAATAAATAAACAAAAATAAAGGAAATAGCATTCCTGTTCCCATGTTACCTGTAAGCATACATAAACAGGAATATAACTTAATCATTTTTTTTCTATTACCGGGGAACTGGATGCTGCTGCACTCTGCCCATCCATGTACGGGCACCAATCAAGACACTGCATGTGAGGCACTGAGGTCATGGGTTATGTACAATGCCACGGTGCTCATGGTTTTATTTTGTCACGGGGAACATATTTCCCATTGTCTTTAGAGGTTCCCTGATCCTCTTATTTAAATCCTGTATTCATGTAGTTTTCTATAATAATAATGATAAAAATAATAAAGTAAAACAACTAATACATACTCCCATCAATTTTTGTTCACTTTTCTCATACAATGGACTTACTGCTATATACGAGCAGTAATCTTCCTGCCTTCTTCACTGGAGTCCCCAAATAGCCCTGAGTAAATGACCTTGTCAGAGGGCAGGGAGAGGAAGAAAATTGGAGTACAAAGACTATTATCACTCGAGATATGAAAAGTGGAAGATGTAGGGGCAAGGTCGCACTTGAAATTTATTAGTTCCTGCTCCAAGATTGTTCCACTATCAATATACTGAAATATATAGCCTTCTTGTGAGTTTTCTAAGTGTAAACTGTTGAACATCATGAGATAAATTAAGTATCACTGATAAACAACATGTATTTGTAGTTTTCTATGGTCCTCATACACAAACATTTTACCAGAACTTCACCGCATTAAATTCTCATGTGCCTGCCTGATCCTTGCTTCAGTCATATTTGGGAGAAGTTTTGAAAATAGGTCACGAATAAAAGCATCAGTAACTCCTGGGCTTGATCGTTCTGCAGACTCAAATGCTGATTTGAGTTCCTCAATAGCATCTGTGCGATGGGACTCTCCACTCCTACCAGAAAGTCGATGGCGACGTTGAAGCTGTAAAAGAGAAAGGCAAGATTAATAAAAATTGGAATAAAAGAATTTCTTGCCAATGATAAGTAAAGAAACCACTTTCACAATACTGTGCATGAGTATATGTAAGCAGTTTTATTAATTTTTATTTCCATATTTAGAATAATAATCATAAAAGAAATCCTTACTCATTTTTTCTTAATTCTACATCCCTTACCTCTGATATAAGTGGTAACACAACACCAGATAATATGCTAGTAGTTGGTGGAGGGGATTTTGCTCTTGGAGGTGGCGGGTGTGAAGAAGTGAGACGATGTTCTGGCCGCCTTACCTCCCGACCATCCACTAAACTTGATCTATTGTCCCTTGGATGGTGGACTTCTCGATTGTGGCGTCTGTCATTGAATTCATTTCTGTCTGGACGGTCACTATCATTCCGAGAATCTTCTGATTCAATTCTCATATCTGTTAACTCCCGTGAGAGACGCCGATCATCACCATTTGTATGTGGTTCACTTGACCGTGGAGATATGTCCATATCTCGTGAAGTTCTGTGATCCATGTGACGCGAATCTCTACGCTTCTCATTTTCATTTGGAGGTGGTGGTGCAACTGATGTTGGACGTGTCTGTATGTGATAATATACTTAGTTAAAGCTAAAT